AGTAAGTGAGTAGGCCAAAAACAACATAGGATTGGCTGGCTATTATTCTTGCAGCCCAGGTACTTATGGCCTACAAGTCAGAATTTAGAATTTATTGGTCTGTGGTGACAGGAAAACCAGTTCCTCTAATAAAAATTGGGAGTGGGAGCTACTGAAAATACCTCTGATTTTAGAGACCGGGAGGAAGTCATCAAGAAACGTCAGCTTAACCTTATGAGAAAAGAAATCAATCTAACTTTTAACTTCACATAAGTGATGAAAATGTCTATCCAAGTAAAACCAGCTACGGCACTATCCCACTATAAAAAATGAATGAATATACCATTACCTACTGGTCCAAACAGATTGCCAATCAATCCATTTGGTAGGGCCAAGGATTGAAATTTAAGAGCGTGAACACGCTTGTGGCCATTATAAACAGCTCTCTGATTGACTCCTGGTTTTGATATGGGACGAACTGTTCCATCAACAAAGCCGAACAGTTGTCCAAGGCGGCACCTTTGTCATGAATTGCTACAGAGTAAGTTTGCAGTAGGTTAGGAGACATAATGAAATGATTCCATTCGGTAATCCTGTGGCCATGACCATTGTACATCCATTCAGGAACTTCATTGCTAATCATGCTGAGCTCGGGTACTGATCGGCCAAAAGTAGAAATCATATCAGACAACCTACATGGATAGCTAAAACGCTTTAGTATAACACAAAGTCCTTCTGTTGAATCACAAACGGTACCATTCGGGCATGTGAAGGTATGAGGCATCTGTAAAACATCCACCAACAATGAGATGTCACTCTTTTCAAATCTGAAGTCTGCCTTACACTCTGCGGGGTCTTTGTTTTCGAGGGAAAATTTTTCATAATCCCAGTGGCGAAACGGAAGGTTTTGGGGAGTGAATTCTTCATACAGCACGGCAAATTCTTCGTCATCTATTAGCTTTTCTTCCAGAGAAAGGAGCAAAGCTTCCTGTAAAGTCTTAAATGAGTTTTGAGTCATTCTTGTAGGGAAAGGTGAAAAGCGTTTTCACTGTTTTCCAGACCATAACTGTTAGTCTAAATGATCGCGTTGTTGATCTTAACTACATATTTCCCGCGCTTAGAACGCGGTGCTCGCCCCAGCCCCACTCTCGGTCCTCACGTTTTCCAGACCACCGCGTTCTCGTTTCTTAAAGTCCCTACTTTTCAACACAACGCGACGGCGTTCTCGACCCAGTTTCTTATCGGCATTTTTGCTGCGCGCGCCGTTCTGAAATGACATTCCCGTCCTCTTGCTAAACCACTCTATTGTTGCAGCCTTGCCATCTTCAAGTTTACTGGCTCCATTGACTCTTCTACCAGACTATTAAAGAGGGCTCAAAAATCTTCAAACTTTCTTTTGTCACCACTGAATGTTGGAACTTTTAACGGCTTCAAATATCGGGTTCGGTCGTTGTGACTGTGGTGACTCGTTTAGCTGATCTTCTCGGGCCGATTGCTCGTAGCAATCCGTCGTGCTCTCGCTTAATGGCGTGTTCATATTCATGACTTTGCACACGCGGACTTTGATGGCACTTTGTCCCGCTTCGATCGCTCTTTGTAAGACTTTTTCGATGGTTTCTGACCCTTTAAAAGCTTCGTTTTTCCCAGTGTCATCTCCGACTTCGACATATAAGGCAAACAGTTCCTCTAAAATTTCTTTAGCGTCTTCAAGGGCTGCCCACAACTGCTCAATCATACTTTCTATGCCCGTTACTTCGGAATCCTTCACCCATAGTTTTTGTAACTCATCTCTGAGTTTTGTCACTTTTGTCTTTGCGGAGCGTTTTCTTCTTTTAATCTGAATTAAGAGAACGTTGTTTTGCTTCTGTTTGTCGACTCCATTCACTTCGGTAACATCGCTGTCCTTGGATTCGGAAGCCATAGTGCACAACTTAGAACTCAAAAACTCAAAAACTCAAATCGCAAATGAAACCTCAAACAAACACCAGTTCATACCTTTCTCCCATCGTGGTCGCCAGAAATGTTCGAAAGCGATAACGACAATCTTCTTTGAAAGCAGGCACGTTTAATCGGTAAACAGACGGTAAAACGGTAACGGCTTAAAATACAAACTAAAAAAAACAAAAACCTCCAAAATGCGACTAAAACTTAAAAAACATACACGCGAGAAATCGTACACGTAACTTGCTTACGAACTAGTCAAATTTAAATGTCTCAGTGCGCGCGCGCTAATCGCACGACACGCCAGTCCGACACTAGAGTGGTTTTGCAAGAGGACGGGAACTTCATTTCAGAACGGTGCGCGCAGCAAAAATGCCGAGAAAAAACTGGGTCGAGAATGCCGTCGCGTTGTGTTGAAAAGTGACTTAGCAGTCGTTTCAACGAACCGTCCACGTTATGTTTGTTCTTGAATATCCTAACCTTGGCTCTTTAGGATCGTTATCAGCTTCGAATTTTCGGCTTCATAGACCACTTGAAGGACAACGAAATTATCCTCTTTGAGAGTGTAACAAGCACAAACCGAGGATAGTTTACTACAAGTGAGCTGTTAATATGAATCCACATGGGCGATTGAACTTTGAAATTATTTCATTCCAGTTAAGTCTCGAGTCTGCAGATTCATCTATCAAATTTTAAAGCCCACTAAATATTTTTTTTCTATGATTTGTATCGCTGTCATTTCGTTTCGTGCTTCTAGATTTCAGCACTACTCGTTTTTCTTCATAATTTTGTAAAGTATAATTTGGAATTGAAATCGTCGCCGTTTTTTCCCTTGTTTACTGAATATTCTTTTTAATCATGACAGTACACCTCTTTTAAGCACCAAACACTCGGAGCGAGAAATTAAGCTCAGGATATTGAAACGAAAGCTGTCCTCGATCACAAGCTTTGCTCCGTTCAAGTGAAAAAAACACTTAAAAAACTGTGCACAAAATTATATTTTTCGCTTGTTAATAGGCTGGAACTCAAACACACCTAAACGCTTGTCTCGTAAGTATTGTATGTCGTACCCTTTAACGTGTCTTGGATCGGAGATTACTTTTCATCGTGTCCGGCTGTGTAAATTGCTAGCGTTGAATTTTAATTCTGCTTCGAACGTAACTTAAACGTTGTTTATGTGATTCAAGTTTTGCCGTTTTGACGACCGGATGTGACATTGACTTCTCGTGGCTTTAATTTGAAGAAAAATTGAGAGTTAAAACGAACTTAGTAAGCTCCGTAATCATTATCAAAAAGTGAAAAATGTAATAACTCAACAATTCCATTGGCTCTTGTTGGATACGAGACTGGTATCCCAACCCATATCAAGTGCGCGCTCATAGAACAGTTGTTAAATATAGTGTACATAATATTCAGTAATTGTACGAAAGACAATGGTTCTTCGATTACGGCTTACGTCCATTTTTTAAGCAAGACCACTAAATTAAAAAATTGCAGAGACTTGGAGTCATCAGCCTGTTCTTGGCGTTCAATTAGTAAAATTCAACGAAATAAATGAGCTGGTGATAGTTACAGCGAAGCAATACGCGACCCGACCCAAATCTCCCCCGCTTTTTCAAATAGAGATAGATAGCAGTGTTCAAGAAGTTTGTGGACTCCTCGACGTGTGCGTGACCAGCGGCGTTAAAGAATAAAAATAAACCTCAGAAGACTTGCAGGTGCTATTCACTTTTAAAGCTGAAAATATTTATATTAGCAGTTCACAAAAGTTTTTGTGTTCAATATTGTTGACTCACTGAGTGAGAAGTAGAGGCAAAGTGAATAGAGAAAATCATTGTTATAGCTTTTTTGTTTTTTGCTTTGTTTTTTCTTCATTTTCCGCCACCGTAACCTTCATACTTGTCTTTATATTTGATTAAGAAAGACGTATTCAAACATTATCTTTAACTTCAGCCGTGTGTTATACCAAAAGCAGCATTTCAGAATGAATGGGAAGAGACTTTTTTGTTACGTGAAATGTGGTCTACGCATCTTCGGTGTGTACCGTTTAGTTCAAGACACTATCGTAAAACAAAGGCTTCCCAGTTGATCGCCTGATGTAAAAGCGAACCAGAAGTGATTTAATTTGTGTTCTGTTTTGTTGTTTCTTTTAGTCCTATAAGACCTTGTATTTGACAAAGTTCGACATTTGAAGGAATGTTAGGATAAAACTCATTCCCTCTCAGCAAAAACCTGCAAAAACAAATTTTGGTAAATTCATTTTGCAAAGCTAAGACGACCCCCCCTCCCCCCCTCCATTTCACCCCCTCTCCTCTGTATGCTGGAGTACCATTTTGCTCCCAGAAACAAAATAACGTCAGGAAATATTTCCAAACAGAAGCAAAAATCTCCTTCATTTGAATGTTAAGACTCAGGTATCCTCTGCTCCAGACTGAAAGAGCATTGTTTTCATATTAAGTACTGTTTCGAGTGCAATTATTTAGTGTAGCTGAAGAAAGAAGGGTTTTGAGCAAAAAGTAACCTAATTCATAATTATGTAGAATTGATCGACTCTTAACCTCAACTGAGAGTGACAGGAGAACATGGTCTCCTGGATGTAAGTATCCTGAAACACGCACAAGCGATTTTTGCACTTCCGGAAGCTATGTTACTATGGTTTGGTTTTGTCCTTCCTTCAAAGGAGAGATCTACAGAGATGGGTCTAGATATAATAGATTAATGTTGTGGAGTGAAAGATGTAAACTTGTATAAGGCATCATCATGCAGACAGAGTCAACTTTGAACTTTTTGACACTTTTATCATACAAATATATATTTTAAAAAAAAATTAAAGCTATTATACTAGCAACGTATCAAAGAAAAAAGACTTGAACACGTACTTAAGACCAGTTTCGTTGAGTAATAGTATCTAGTACGCGAAAACTATCAGGCGATTGGGCCAAACAACAAACTTTCCTGCAGATGTAATGTGCCACGTATAATTTTGATTAAAATACCGTTAATTTTATTAATACTTTCAGTGTAAAAGTATTTCGAGTTGGTATCGCAAGTAAAGGCGGTCTGCGCACGATTAGCTTTCCTGCAAACAAGCGGGTTTTGCGGCAAAAATATTTTTTAGCAATTTATTAAAATTGTACACAACTATGGCATTCAGAGCGAAATCTCATCATCATCTCATTATTGGATTTCTTTTTCGCGCTGTCCTGCCTTTTAGAATGAGCCACAAAATAAACTGAACTCAAACGCTTGTGTCGAGGCATACATGTAAGTACTTAATATGTTTAAGAGAAAATGAGAGTATATTTTATTGGTAAACTTATAAATTCGCTTCAGCGTTTAAGAATATAAAGTCAATTGTATTACAACGTTCCAGCCTAACTGATTAACACAACATGGCTATTTCTACCAAGTAAGCGTGCAAGGAAAAAATAATTAATCCCTGAAACTTGTCTGGGCGAAGTGTTCAAAATGTTAGCCAGTCATACACCGTGGACATGTATATAACTACACTATTAAATCCTCGACGTTTGCATACAACTGCTTGTCGTACATTGTCATGTTGATCAGCTTCTGCAGAGAAAAATAATAATCAGCATCATTAAAAAAGTTTTAAGTGGTTATCCTCATGAGTGGTCAGGTTTTCACACCAAAACAAATTCAAGGAGGAAGTATTTTATGGCGTCGTCATCTGCTACTCTTTGTGCGTCTCAATGCAGTTTTGCAATCATCCTATGATCTTTTAAATAACCATAAAGTTTAAATTGTCATTGAGACATTCTAGTTCACTTCTTTGCTGTTTTTCATGGAGTGCTAACTTCAGTGACATAACAAAAAGATGCAGTCCAAACTTCGTAAAAATTACAAAGATGAGTACATAATACTACGCTATTTAGGCTCAATGCTCTTAAGTTTAACCCTAATCAGCTGAGCCTAAGCCAGTCGGTCCTCGTGAAAAGAAACTTTCATATTGATCAAAATTCTCACCTTGTGTAGGGTTTCCATGTCCTTAAGCTGATTTTTCAATTCAGTAAAAGTTGGTCTTGCATCAGGGTCATTCTTCCAGCATTTCATCATGATTTGATACCTGGCATTGTTCAAGTGATCTGTTTGAGATTTGAAGAGCATTTCCTTGTACGACGAGAGAGAACGAGGTAACAAAGAAAACTTACAATTTTTCATCGACGTGTTGTGGTTTAGGCATCCTGTATCCATCCTGAAGTAAGTTTGCAATTTTTCTTCCATCCATTCGTGGGTAAGGTGAACCGCCTGGAAGAACCACAAGACCATCGAAATATAAACGTGACAAAAAAAAGACCTTCACTAAAACATACCTGTGTCAATTGATGGAGTTTGAGGTTGCATGGGGAAGCTTATTACGTTTGTCTAACTGAACACGATACATTGTTTAATTAGGAGCCTCATAAACTTCCATTCGATGTTACCTATGGTGAAAATCTCGTACAACAAAACTCCATAACTCCATCTGCAGAAAGACAAATCAAACGAACATAAATTAAGTGACTATTGACATAAACAGTATATACGACGAATAAAATATATGTATTCTTTGACAAAGCATAGAATTCAAGTCCAGACTAAAATTGATAAAACTTATTGATAAATTGCTACGGTTGATAATCAGGTATACTTACACATCACTTTTGGTGGTATATTTACCATACAATAAGGCCTCATAAGCTGTCCACTTCACGGGAAGACGGCCCTAAAGATTTTAAATATCACTTTGTGAAACAGCTCGAGCAGTGATATTTAAAGTTTCATGATCAAGTCAGGGAATATATCAGCATT